TGATCAAGAGTCACATATGCTACAAATTGAGTCAGACGAGTGCCCCCTCCTTGGTTTTTGTTTTTGTTTTTGTTTTTTAAGATTTTATTTATTCATGAGAGACATACAGAGAGAAACCCAGGCAGAGCGAGAAGCAGACTCCATGCAGGGAGCCTGACGTGGGACTCAATCCTGGGACTCTGGGATCACACCCTGAGCTGAAGGCAGATGCCCAACTGCTGAGAACTGCTGAGCCACCCAGGTGTCCCCCACTATAGCTTTTATACCCTAATTTCTGAAGTGATCCAGCATTGCTTCTACCCACATTGTACTGGTCACACAAAACCACCTGGTGCCATATGGGAAGAACCACACAAAGCTGTGAATCCCCAAGGTGGGATCACCGGGGGCCATCTGCAAGGCTGGGCACCAGAGCTCATGCAGGGAAGAGCCAGGACTCCAATTCTGCTGGGATGCAGAAAGAGATGAGGAGAGACATGATGAGAAAGGCAGGCCAGGCCTGTGGCCCTGGAGGTTTTGAGAGCCAGAAAAGAGTCAGGTGAAGAGGCAGGGAGGGGAACCAATTACCACACATCCCATTAGGAAAACACAAGAGGACCCTTCAAAGATAATGATGTGGTCTTCTGCATCTGCCCACTAAGTGCCTGGTCACCACACCCAAGGGTCTCAAGATGCATCTGGCTGCAGGTAGACGGATGAAAGATGCCTGGGGTGCCTGGGTGGTGCAGGCAGTTGAGCGTCTGACTCCTGGTTTCTGCTTGGGTCATAAGATTGAGTGCCGAGTTGGAGTCTGTGCTCAGCACAGAGTCTGCCTGGGACTGTCTCTCCTTCTCCATCTGCTCCTCTCCCTACCAACATGCATACTCTCTCTCTCTCAAATAAAAAAGTAAATCTTTAAGAAAGAGAAAGATAAATGTCAAAGCCAATAATTTGCAAGCCACCTGGGAAAATACCTTCTCATATAAATTGTGATACCTAGAAAAAAATATTTTAACTAAACTGGAAAACAAGAAACACAAAGTTGCATCAAATCTCAGGTGAGCAGCCTTCCCTCCCTAAATTGCAACTCCCCCACTGTAAAATGGTCTGACTCCAAAAACTGTTTAAAATCCCAAAGACTGGGATCCCTGGGTGGCGCAGTGGTTTGGCGCCTGCCTTTGGCCCGGGGCGCGATCCTGGAGACCCGGGATCGAATCCCACGTCGGGCTCCCGGTGCATGGAGCCTGCTTCTCCCTCTGCCTGTGTCTCTGCCTCTCTCTCTCATGCTCTGTGTCTCTCATGAATAAATAAATAAAATCTTTAAAAAAAAAATAAAATAAAATCCCAAAGACTGTAAACATCCAGTGCTGACAAGCATGTAGGAAATGAGCACCCTCCTACGCTGACGATAGGAATATGGCATCTCTTTTAGACCCAGGCACTCAGGAGCTCTGGCCCAGGCCCTTCTCTCTAGAAGAGATGGTAGATGGAATAACGGCCCCACCAAAAATGACCGTGTCCTGTTCACCCAGGCCGTGAATGTGTGACATAGAAAGGAGGAATTATGGCTGCCAACAAGCTGACCTTAAAAGAGGAGGATTATCCAGGATCATCCAGGCCGGCCCAATATAATCACAGGGGTCCTTAAAAGATGGAAGAGAAAAAGAGTCAGAGTCTGAATGAGGCAACATAAATAGAACAGTCCAACCTGCTGGCACTGGCTTTGCAAATGCAAGAGGCGGTGAGACAATCAGTGTGGGCAGCATCTGGAAGCTGGGAACGGAAGATCTCCCCCTAGAACCTCTAGGGAGAATGAGCCTCTGCCCCCACTTTGATTTTGGTCCACTGAGCCCTATTTCTGACTCCAATCTCCAGAACTATAAAATAAATGTGTGTTCTTTGGAACTCCTAATTTGTGGTAATTTGTTACAGGAACACAAGAAAACTAACAGGAAGGCCCCCCTGTGGCACACGGAAGCCAGGAACCCAAAGGGCCCGAAGGCGTGCCCACACCGGGTCCCCTTCAGCATCACCCACGGTCCCTCCTGCTGGGGGCCCGGGCCACGGGCGGGGGGGCAGGGAGGAAGGCCACTGCTCCGTGGCGGGCGCTGGTTAACGTCATAAAACGTGCATCTCAAAGCACCTGGGGACCTTGTCACAGTAGCTAGACATTTCCACGCGTCCCCACCCAGGCAGCTTCCCATTCCACGCTGCCTAACCAAAAAATAATAATCAGCAAAGCAATATCAAAAAGCACAATTCCGGTTTATAAAACAAACCAAAGAGAAACGAAGGGAAAGGCAGGCTCGGTCGGATCAGAAGGACCACGCGGCGCCCTAATGATCGGGGAGAGGCAGGGATTGGAGAAGGCCCGCATGGGCACAGGGCGCCAGGGGTGGGGGGGGGCCCAGGGCCCCCCCCCCACCCCGACCTGCTCCGGGCTGGGGGCCAGGCCGCACAGGGGCGCGACGGGAAGGTGCAGGGAGGGGCGCAGGGGGGACCCCGCGCCCTCCGGGTCTCCCGGCTCGCAGCCAGTCCCCTAAACCGGGACCGGGTCTCAGGGCGGCGCGTCCCCGCGCGCAGCGGGCCGATTGGCCCCGGCAGAGGCCCGTCCTCCCGCCCGCCGCACCCCTCCCCCGACCTCTGGGGCCGCGCGACCCGGCGCTGGGGCTGCGGTCCCCCCACCCCCCGCGGGTCCCCCCCTAGACAGCTGCCCGCCCCCCGCTCCACTGAGGGTCACCCCCACCCAGAGGGCTGCCCCCCCCCGCCCCCCCAGACGCTCGGAACCAGTCGGCACCCCAACGCTGCGCTGGGGGCCTGGGGGACCCCCCTCTACCCCTTGGTGAGCCCCCGCCCTCGGGACGCCAAGCGCCCCCCGGCGGACGCTCCTTGCAGCTCCCACTCTGGGGAGTCCGACAAGCCCCCCCCACAGGGCCCTCCCACCTCCCACCTCCCCAGGGACCCCACCCCAGCTTGTCCTCCCAGCGAGCCCCCCCACCCCAAGGACTCAGGCCCACCCACACCGACCGCCCTGCAGCCAGGCCCTCAGTGTCCTTGCCCGGGTCCTAAAATGGCAAGGACGGCTGTTTAAAACCCTGCAGCCTCAGGCTCCCTAGTGGAATGGTGGGTGCCAGGCCACGGGGGGGGGGGGGGGGCGGGGGGGTCAGGGATATTATCTAGTGGGAAGAGCTGCTCTTCGGGTGACGGAGAAGCTCCACATCGCTGACGGTGCCGGCCGCACCCCTGAACGGGGAGAGTGGCCGCAGTCCCAACCAAGGCGCCAGGCCTGTGCCACCGGGTGGAGGGCAGCTCCCCTTGTAAATGCCCTTCCCAGCCAGCGCTGGCTTCTCACCCTCGCTGACCACCAGCTCCGCCAGCCCTTCCCAGATCCTTTGCCCAGCCAGGCAGTGCGGGGACAGGTCCCCGTGAGGCCTGGGGTGGTGCAGGCCAGGCCAGACCCCGGCTCTGGTGCTCACCAGCTCTGGAATGCTCAGTGCCCCCCCCCAACTGAGAATGGGGTGACCAACAGGAAACGCCTTTGGAGTTTGGCAGAGCAGCACGGGTAAGGCACCTAGAATGAGGCCCGCACCCAGCAGGCAAGGGCCGCTCAGCTCCTCTGCCCCCTCTCCAGGGCACCCGCCTAGCCGGGCCCTTCCCCTGTATCACGGGCGCCGGCAGAGGCAGGAGTCGCTCAGTCACCCGTCAGGCCTAGGACGTCCCTGTACCCCACTGGCATGTGGCCTGAGACCCCATCCCTTCATACCCCTACAAGTGGCCTCTGCCCCAGGCCTCGCCTGAGCCTGGCCTTCCGGTGCAGGTTCTTCCCAGGCTGCTCAGGGCCCCGGAGGCGCTTCCTGTAGCAGGCTCTGCGGCAGAGGCAAGGGGCATGGTGGCCGCACCCGATGGCGTCCCAGGACACAGCCCTTGGACCTCCCATTCCAAGGACGGCACTCATGAGAAAGGAGGAAGGTGCTGCCCACCCCAGCACATGACGGGGGAGTCAACCCCTGCTCTGGGCCTCCAACAGGCCCTACCGACTGATCCCGTGTCACACTGTCCTCAGAACCTGCAGGGGCCCCCATCCGGGGAACGCAACCACCCACGCCCCCAGCGTTGGGGCACTGCTGCCAGGGCCGAGGGGATGTGGAAGGCCCCAGGTCACACTAATGGACAAAGAGTTGCAGGGCTTGGGATACCGTTGACCTCCGAGCCGCCCAGCGGCACCAGGCAGGCTCACCTGCAGCTGTGCAACCTCCAGCGTGCACGTGGGATCATCGTGCACACCTGGGAGCCGGCTCAGGCGAGGGGTCATTCAGGGAAAACACTATAGGTAGTGGAGCCTTGATTATCCCAAGGGCTCAAGGAAGTAAGGCTGCAGGCAGGGCAAGGAGTGGCAGCCAGGGCGAGCTCAGGCACCCTCCGCACAGCTTCCTGCACTCCCAGCCTGGCGAGCTGGAGTCCAGAGGCCCGCGCAGATCCCTTCTGAAGGCTGGGGGAGCACCTGGCACTGTGGCCCTGCATCCCCACTTTGCCTGCCCAACTTAAGGGTGCAGAGAGCAAGGCCATGGGACACTCTGTGTGCTGCCCTCCCCCGAGGCCCCTCCCGCACCCAGCTCCTGACTTGTCTCCACAAACGATTCTCTCCTCGTGCAAAATCCCAAGAAGCACCCTTGCCCTCAGTCCCAACATGTGAACTTCTGACACTGTCTACACTCAATGTCCCAGCCCCTTCCCGTCTGCTCTCCAACCTAGGACCCAGGGCTTCCCCTCCCACCACCTCCAACCACGCCTCTGCCTTGGGCTCTGTGGGCTTCAGGCACAGCTGTGCAACGGAGAGGGCCCGTCACCTCCACTGGGACCCTGCAAGGCTGCCACGAGCCAGAATCCAGCCACTCCCACTCCTGACCCTGAGATCCAAGCACCCCACCTCCCCAGCACCCCCAGACAGCCACTGAGGTGTCAGCGCCCTGCTCTGACATGACGGCGCCCTGCTTTGAAGCAAAACTCGGAGACCAGACAAGTCCCTGCTGGGCGCATGTTTATCCAGCTGCATCCTGAGCGGAGGCCTCCGCCAGGGGCAGGATGGCCACTGGCTCCCTGGAGACCAGCTCCTCCACGGCTCAGCCCCGCCAGCGTCCAGCCAAGGCTGGGCATCCTTTCCAGCTGTGGTCCTCGGTCACTGCCTGGCCGCCTCCGCCTGCCACACCAACTCGCCCGAGATGTAGGTGGCCCGCACGTGAAGAGAGTCATCGAGCATCACGAAGTCTGGGTCAGAGGGGGGAGGTGAGAAGGAGGCAGGGGTGGGCCCATCGCCACCCCCACCCCCTCCCCCACCCTGACCCCACTGGAGAAACAGGCCTGCAACATGACTTGGACACAGCACCCCAACCCATCGCAAGCTGACCCAGGTCCTGGAACCAGCATTCCCAGCAGTAGGGTACAAGGGACAGAGGCCCCGGCAGCCCTTCCCCCAGCCTTGCCTCATATGTCAGAAGGGGAAAGGGGCGCAGGGGGAGGCTGGCAGCTGGGCAAGGCCACCTGGACACAGGGAAGATCCCACCGGCCCTGGCACTGCCCCAAGTCTTCAGTGGCCCGGGTGCCCGCATTGGCCCCTGACCTGCATCGGCCCCGAAGTCCAGGGTCCCCTTGCGCTTCTCCAGCCCCAGCAGCTGAGCGGGGTGCAGGGACGCAGCCTCCAGGGCCAACTCCACACTGCAGCCTGCTCAGAGGACACAAGTGGGTAACATCCCCCATCTCAGCGCCGCTGGCAGCCCCTCCCCACCGCAGCCCCGGGGCTCCAACGCCTAGGAACTGGAGAAGGGAGACGTCCCAGGACCCTGCGGCAGGTCGCCAAGGTTCCACCTGCACCCCGTCTGAGGACACTGCTAGGTACCCTCTTTCCGCTCACTCACCCATCCCATCCTGACAGGCCTCCCCCTCCTCACACGAAAAGGCCTGCAGGCCCCTCCCCTGTCAGGGTCCCAGGAAGAGCCCCCCGACAAAGAAGCAGTAGCCTGGGCATCAATAAGGCCACCTCGACTTGACTTCCTACCCCTGCTACCCCTAAGAGGCCACATGACCAAATCCCATTTCTTCTGGTCCCATCACCATCCCAGCTGCCAGGCCGAAGCCACTTCCTGCCTCCTGGCCTGTCTCCTACTGCTCGAAACAGCACGCTGAACCCTGGAACCCCCAGGGACACCCCAGCCCCATGGCACCAAGAATCCCACGGGGCCTAGCCAGTCACAGCCTCTGCAGACACCCCTTCCAGGCTCCCCGAGAAAACGCCCACCCTCTTAGGAAGCCTGGAGCGCTGCTCTGACCACCCCCTCCCCTCAGCTCTGTACCCGTGAGCCCACAGGGTCCAAGTCGGCAGGCTTTCCTGCGCATAAGGTGAGGTCCCTTCTCCTCTCGGGTGCCACGGTTTCACTGCCTGTCACCCTGGATTCCAGCCGCCTGCTTGCTTGTCATTGTCTTAACCTGCCCCTGAGCTGCTTGCAGGGGGGCCTCGGCCACATCCCTGGTGCTCATCCCTTGGGAGCTCCACCAGACGAGAGAGGTGGTATGAGACTCTAGTGGTCTCCACGCTTCCCTCCAACCTCTCCTGGGTGGAGCTCAACATACATACACGCACACATGCATGCACACACACTCGCACTGCACACTCCCCCTACCCCAGCCTCACTGACCTGTGGCCTGCAGGAAGTGCCGGACACAGACGTCCATCGGGGCGATGCTGCCACTCAGTGTCTTGGTGCCTTGAGAGCAGAGAGGGCAGGCTCTGGGGGACCAGAGGCCACCAGGCACGTGGTGGGGGGTGGGCACTGGGCTGGCGGGGCGGCCAACAGGCTGGCAGTGAACACCTGGATTCTTGGATCCCACGGGAGGCTGGGGGCTGTTCCCACATGGGCAGTCAGCAGGGATGTGGGGGTGGCTCACCTGCCACATAGGCTGTCAGCCCATCTACTTCCACCTCCTGCTGCCCCAGCGTGTGACGGCCATTGCCCAAGCCCAGGGCAGGGACAGCATCGGTGACCAACACCAGCCCTGCAGAGAGAAGGAGCCTTAGGACTTACCTCTACGCGGTCCTCCCAGCTACTGCCACCCTGCCCTGCCACTCACCCTGGGGATGGGCGCGGTGGGCAATGCGCAGGGCAGCGGGGTTGGTATGTGTGCCGTCAGCAATCATCCCGTAGAAGATGTGGCGGCCTGGTGGTAGCCGGTCACTAGTCAAAAGCCCCACGATCCCTGGGTCACGGTGGTGGAACTGGTCAGGGATAGGAGGGGGACAGCTAAGCGATGGCGGGAGCCTGACACCCACCCACCCAGGGCGCTGGCAGAAGGGGGGGTGGGGGGCACTCACAGGCAGCATGGCGTTGAAGAGGTGCGTGATGAAGGTGGCCCCACTCTGCACGGCTTCCTCCGCGGCCTGCAGGTCGGCCACCGAGTGTCCTGCATAGGGGACCTGGACTCAAACTGTGCACCCAGCCCAGGAACCCCCCGCCATGGGCCCAACCCTGGGGGCGGGCCCTCCTCACCTAGGGACACACAGATGCCACGGGCCGTCAGCGCCTGTATCACCTCGTGGCTTCGGCCCAGCTCGGGGGCCAGCGTCACAATGCGGACGTTGTCCAGGGGCCCGTAGGTGGCCAGCACGTCGTGGAAGGCGTTGGTCTCAAAGGAGCGCAGGTGGGCTTCAGGGTGTGCACCCCGCTTCTCCCGACTGATGAACGGGCCCTCCAGGTGCACCCCTGGGAGGAGGGGAGTGGATGTCTCCAGCTCACCTCCTGCCCTGTGGCCCCTGCCCCAGCCCCTGTGGCCTGCCCAGCCGCCCTCCCGGTTGGGCTTCTGGAGGGGGAAGGGCTGCCACCAGGTCCCCAAGGAGCCTCCCAGGGCAGGGGCAGGAAGAGGGTCAGCCACTCACCGAGGACCCCTGCCCCATGGGAACCACCACTCTTCACAGGGATCTGAGGAAGGACCTGGGGGGAACCAGCTGTTAAAGCCCTGCCCCCTATGGCCCAGCGCCCGGGGGTCAGAGATCAGCCCCCCCCCCCGACGGCCTTCCCTCAGGGATGGGAAGCTCCAGGCCCCCAGGCTCGGCCTGGGGAAGCGCAGCTCGAGAACTAACAGGACGCAGAGGTGAGACCCGCCGCAGGCCCAGGAGCCGGGGGAGAAGCTGGGCAGAGGGCAGGCACCGGACAGCAGCGGGACACGGACAGCAGTGGGGACACGGTGGGCTGTGGACCCAGCCCGGGAGACGGGCCTGGCCTCGGGCTGCAGGACCAGAAGCACGGCCAGGCCGGGAGGGGGGTGCACTCCGGGTGGAGGGGTGTGGGCCGGAGAGCCTGGCGCGTGTGGGGCCGCGGGCTGAGGCCTCAGTGCCATCGGAAGCTCCAGTGTCCTTCCAGGTGCTCACGGTCCCCACCGTGGATGCAGACAGGCAGGCGCCCCAGGCCGCACCTCCCGCAGGAAGCCACGTGGGGAAGGAGGTGGGCAGGGAGCCCTGCGGGCAGCAGGGTCCCTGGGCCGCGCTGCGGGACAAACACGCCCGCCTCCTTCCCCCCCACCCCCGGGGCTCCCCTGCCCCCAACAAAACCCGGAGATCTGCGAGAGGCCGAAGCCTCGTGTGAGGTGCAAGACAAGAACAGAACTGTCTCAGGAGCCTGAGGACGGTGCTGGACAGATGGGGGGACCCACGCGGGGGCCACGCGGTGCTCCGCAGCCCTGCCGCCGGAGGCCTGGCAGCGCCTGCCGCCCTGAGAAGCAGGGGGACTGAGAGACGCCTCGCCGCAGAGCAGCTGTGCTGCCAACTGCGACCGGGAAGCACCGGGAAGCACAGGAGAGGCCCGGGGGCTCCAGGCGAGAGGTGCAGACGCACAGGGAAACCTCTGGCCCGACGCTGTCAGCACAGCGCGGTGAGGCCTGGCCCGGGGTGGCCGCAGGAAGGCTCCCGGGCACCGCAGCCTGCTGGCTCCCAATCTCACACGGAGCCGACAGCCAAGGCTCGGCAGCAGCTGGGGGAAGCCACTGAGGACACAGGACAAACGGGGCAGGGCCGGCGGGGCCAGGACGCGTGAGGACAGGTCCCGCACCCGTGAAACGAGGACGGAGCATCAGCATTCCGAGACACAGCAAGCTCCTCCAAACTAAGGCTACGTGAGCAGCCAAGCAAAAAACCCAAAAGAACCGTGTGGTAAAAACAGCAAACACTGAAAAACAGAGTCAGAGAAGAATTAGAGAAGCCACCCGGAGGCCCAACAGCGGAGTGACAACTCCTGGGAAGGGGCGACAGGGAAGTGGTGGAGAAAATCACGAAGCAATCACTGAAGACAAGCAAACAAAACCAAAAGTCAGACTTCGGCCTGAGCGGCGGAGCTGACGGCCAGCATGATGGAGGAACCCCGTCCCCTCACACTGCAGAGCCCAGGGCCAAAGGGAAGGTGCCATGAGCCCCACACACAAAGTATCAGAGCTCGGTGCCTCTGGCTTCTCAGCAGCAGCCCCAGGAGTCACAACACAACACAGCAACGCCTTTAAGATTCCAGAGCACAGTCACTCCTAACAGAACTGCAACCACGTCAAGAGAGGAGACAACAGGGGCATCTGGGGGGCTCAGTCAATGCAGTGTCTGACTCTCGATCTCGGCTCTGGTTGTGATCTCAGGGTCCTGGGGTGGAGCCCCACATCAGGCTCCCTGCTCAGCGGGGAGTCCACCTGTGATTCTTTCCCCTCCCCCTCCCTCCCTAAAATAATAAATCTTTTAAAAAAATAATAAAGAGGGGGGATCCCTGGGTGGCCCAGCAGTTTAGCACCTGCGTTCGGCCCAGGGCATGATCCTGGAGTCCCGGGACCGAGTCCCACGTCAGGCTCCCAGCATGGACCCTGCTTCTCCCTCTACCTGTGTCTCTGCCTCTCTCTCTGTCTCCCATAAATAAATAAAATCTTAAAAAATAATTATAGTAAAAAGGGCCACCTGGGGGGCTCAGTGGTTGAGCGTCTGTCTTTGGCTCAGGGCATGATCCCAGAATCTGGGATCATGTCCCGCATCAGGCTCCATGCACGACCCCCTCCCTCCCCACAAGTAGCCTGCTTCTTTCTCTGCCTGTGTCTCTGCCTCTATGTCTCTTAGAAATAAATAAAATCTAAATAATAATAAAGAGTGTAAAAACACTCTGACCTTCAAGATCTCAAAAACCTCACCTCCTGTGACCCCTTCCTCTAGCAGAAGCTTGTGGATGTGCTCCAAAACGAAGGCATAAACCAGCAAACCCAGGATGGGGGATCTGCAGGGGCTCCCCCCAGGTAAGGGCAAGGGTGTGCCAGGACCGCTGGGCCCAAGGAAGCCAGCAGTCCGCACTGGGAAATGGGTTCTGGAGGCCACTGCAGGAAGGCGACACTGTTGGAGCGCCTGGTACGTGCTGACGTCCCGAAAGAAGAGTGAGGAACTGGCAGGAAGCCTGGAGTTGAGTCACCAGATAAAACCAATGTAGCATACGAAGAGCAGCGACCCCAAGGGAAGCACAGCAGGCAGCAGGAAGGTGGGAGGAGTATCTGAGTCCCCGTCACCAGTGCTGCCAGCTGGCCTCACCAAGGCTGCAGGCGGCCACCTGGGGAGGTTGGCGGGGCGGCTGGAAGCCCGGGAGGACAGCCTCACCCTGTCCTCTGCTGGGACGCACACATGCAGACACGTGGCTCTAAACCGACAAGTTGGTAGGAGCACCAGCCTGTACTGGAGACCGGCGAGCAAATTCCAAGAATCAGCTGAGCTGAAAGGGACAGTCTCTCGGGAGCCAGTGGGGACAAAGGGCTGGTTTTCCTAATAAGTCATGTGATAAGTGTAAGTTCACTACAGATTTTGTTAAAAAAAAAAAAAAATTAACGGCTGAGTTTTTCCAGAATAGATGTTTCCCCCCCAAACAGGTGGGCATGCGTGTTAGACACTGAAGAGACCCGTTGCCTTCAGCCGGGAGACGGTGTCATGACGAGTGTCAGGTTCCATCCTCAAGCTTTCTCCAAAGTCCTCTGAGGGAGCTCAGCGCCAGACACAGCGGGGAAGAGACTGCCCCCACAAGGGGTGGCTGGGATGGTGCGTGAATCCTTGGACTGCTGTCTGCAGCGAGGATGCCACATGGGACATTCCAGGGGGTTCCGCAGAGGCTCTCCCGGGGAACGACACACAGGGAGAGGGGACCTGCGCCATGTCCGTCTCTGGCTGCTCTCCCCACCCGGGCTCACGTGTGCCACTCCTGCCCCCATAAGCTCTGAGTCTCAGATTCAGAACCTGAGGTCCGAACAAGACACTCAGGATTTCCTTCATACCTCGAAGCAAAACAGAGATTTACAGGGAGAGCTAGAGAATGCTAAGCTGGGAGGGCAGAACACGGGATAGCACGGACAGACGGACAGACCTAGGGGAAACGAGGCCAGTTCCCGGCAGGAAGGCAGAGGAAGAGGTCAAAGGACAGAGAGCGTGTGGGGCCAGAGGCAAAGGTGTGGCTGCCTCCCGAGGAGGTGTCAGGTCTTGGCTAAGCAGCTGATGAGACTTGAAGCAGAGAACAATGCGCGATCAAACAGTCAGGCTGGAGGAGACCCCAGAAACAAACCAGGTGGTCTCAGTGGACCAGAACATGATGACAAAGGACCTGACAAATGAAGCAATCCAGTTCTGCCCAGAGTGAGCCAGCCCCGGGGCAGGGCGGGATCCCAGGGAGTAGTCCTGTAGTTGCTAAGAGAATACCAGGATCCAATTTTCACATTCACCACCCTCCACGACCTTCCTTTCTGCTGCCTGAGGCTTTCAACCTGCAAGTGCTTATGGAGAATGACAGCTACTAGTTAAGACCACGTAAGCCAAAAGTCCCCAAGGCCAGAAACCAGCGGTCCTAAAGAAAAAGCCCTCACCTCCTGCATGGCAGCCGTCACATGTGCTGCTGAAGGTGTAGGCGGTGTGCGACCGCACAGCAGAACCACAGCGTCAGGACTTCAAAAAGGAAGCATCAAATAGAACAAGGCAAAGGCCTTCCAGGCAGTGGGCTCAGAGATAGAAAGAGAACAGCCTAGAAAGGCTGGCACATGCCTAAGGAGAGGACAGAGGCTCAGGCAGGCAGAGAGGGGACACTGAGAAGGATGGGCTGACCCCGAGAATCAAAGGGGTGGGGTGGGGCGAGTGGTGCGCTGAGGCCTGTACCTTGGGAAGGCCCCTGTGGCAGGACTGAGAGCCGGGAGCGTGGGGCTCAGGAAGGGGGAGGGCAAGCAACGTGGAGGCAGTAAGACGGGCACGTGCCCAGGTTCCAAGCAGGGGGGAAAGCACGGGCGGACAACCAGCAGAGAAAACAGAACCTGGTGCCGGTGTCCAGCAGGAAGGTGAGCTTAGTTTTTAACATCCGACTATGATGGGAGACCTGGGGGAAGTTTCCAGAAAAATGTCCACAGCTGACGGTTAATCAAGTCCTTAATACGTACAGCACAGGGCAGCCCCGGTGGCGCAGCGGTTTAGCACCGCCTGCAGCCGGGGTTTGATCCTGAGGACCCTGGATGGAGTCCCACATCAGGCCCCCTGCATGGAGCCTGCTTCTCCCTCTGCCTGTGCCTCTGCCCCCCCCCCGTTTCTATGAATAAATAAATAAAATCTTTTTAAAAAATACATACAGCACAACCCCAGGAAATGGACACGATCACCACTCTCAACTTAGACTTGAGAAAACAGACTCAGAACAAAATAGTGTCCCATGACGCCCCCCGCAAACCAGTGAAGTTACGGGGCCCAGACCAAACCCAAAGCCCACTCCTGACCTCCCCCAACACCCAGCTTGGACTCTCTGTCCACACACCCGGGAAGGACCCAACAGTGGGCAACATGATCATTGTACAAAAGACCCTGCACTGGAGAGAAGCACTGGAGCAAAAGATGAGGGATTACAACAGGGTAACCGTCACCTCCCTAAACTCTGCTCAGGTAAGGGAACACCCACACTTTTCAAAACTCTCGGCATCAAGCAGTAAAGAGGCAGGAGGAGCAACGCCTGGGTGGCTTAGGGGTTGATCATCTGCCTTTGGCTCAGAGTGTGACCCCAGGGTCTGAGTCCCACATCAGGTTCCCTGCAGGAAGCCTGCTTCTCCCTCTGCCCATGTCTCTGCCTCTCTCTGTGTCTCTCTCATGAATACATAAAATCTTAAAAAAAAAAAAAAACACACGAGAAATACCGCTTTCCAGCAACTCAGAAACAAAAAAACCCAATGATAAGACGTGGTAAAGAATAAAGACAGATGAAATCCCTGGGTGGCTCAGCGGTTTAGTACCTGCCTTCGGCCCAGAGCGTGGTCCCGGGGAACTGGGATCGAGTCCCACATCAGGGTCCCTGCAGGCAGCCTGCTTCTCCCTCTGCCTCTGTCTCTGCCTCTCTCTCTGTCTCTCATGAATAAATAAAATCTTAAAAAAAAAAAAAGAATAAAGACAAGACCCCACAAAGGAAATACCAGGGAGGTGCGGATGGGAGGACCAGTGGGAGGATGTGGGGGCAGACAAGAGCAGCAGGAGGCCGGGCTGGGGGCAGGGAAGCTTCTTTCTGGAAAGCACACTCCCCTGACTCAGCGAGCACAGACAGGTTGGGGGGGATAAGCCTGAGGAGCAGGCACTGGATGTGGCAATCAGAAAGTCCCAGCAACCGGTTTCTGCAGCCTGGAGGGCAGCTCAGAAAGGACGTGCAGCCGGGGAAGGCACGGCCTGTGGGACACCCAGATGAGCAAGCCCCGGGGCAGGACCCCACGCAGTGGAAGGAAGCCAACAGGTGAGGCCAGGTGCTAGTGTGGAGGTGTTGGTGGAAGCAGATTGGAGAAAGCGCTGCTGCTTCTGGAACCCCCTCTCCTGGACACTGGGAGCCCGACCTCACCTTGTGATAAACCTCTGGTGGTGAGGTGACCAACGTTGGGCAGAAGGAGGTTACTCCATGCGACAAGATCCTCTGGGCCACCAGGGCGACTCCTGAGCCCACGTCCTCCGTGGCCTGAGAGAAGTCAACGCCAAATCCACCTACGGCCACAAAGAGAAGGTCCCACGGTGCCCAGACCACCCTCTCGGGGGTCGCCACCCGCAGCCCTAGACCGCACCGTTGATCTGCACGTCGATGAAGCCTGGCGCCAGGATGCAGCCCCCGCAGTCCCGCCGCTCATCTGCCACTCGCCGCTCCTCAAAGAACAGCTTCTCGGGGTCCAGAATGCGGCCTTCGCGCACCCACAAATCCTCCCTGCGGCCAGAAGCGGGGGGGGGGGGGGGCGGGGGTAAGGCTGCCCACCCCGCACCGTGGGCCACGCGGCAGCTCCCGGGCCCGCGCCCCGCGTCCCGCAAGAAAGCGGCCCGCAGCTCCGGCCCCTACGCCCGCCCGCCCGCCCCCGGCGCGCCCCGAGCGGCACCCGCCCCCGCCGCCCCCGAGCCGCCCCGCCCCCGCCGCCCCACCTGAGCAGCGCCCGGCCTCGCAGGATGCGGCAGTTGGTAAACTGGAGCACCGGGGCCCGCACCCCGTCCTGCCCGCCGCGCATCGTGAGCCACCGAGACCGGCCGAGCGGGCGGCGCCCGGAGCCCCGCAGCCCAAGCCCGCTACCCGCTCGCCGCCGACTGCGGGCCGCCGAGCTCGGCCGCACCCACGTGACCCTCAGCTGACTGAGACGCATCACGTGAGCGGCGCGTCCACGTGACCCGTCCGCCCACGTGACCAGCGTGCCCCGGGCCTGCAGGGATTCCGTGGCCGGGGCCGCCCACTCCGCCCCCCCCACCCCAGCCCGATCCCACACAAGCGGTCCACACAGGCGTCCAGTCACAACCGAGAACTTTATTGGACACGGCTCCGCTCAGGGCCCGCGGCCCCGGACAGCCGGGGCTGGACCGAGAGTGGTTCCATCCGAGCCTCAGGGCAAACGGTAACCCCACAACGCAACACTACCTAAGGTTACTATATAGTTGGGAGACGGAGGGCTGCTCCACAGACGTATGAACAGATCAAATCTTTATAAATAATAAACATCCAGTGAAGAGAAAAATGACAAGTCTAATTCATCCTTAAACACAGAGCACTCTAGGGCAGATGAGTGGGGGCGGCCAGAGGCCTGCATCCTCACTGATCGGGGGCCTAAATGGGGAATGAGTGGGCCCAGATGTCCACGGCACGGGGCGGGGGCAAGGCCGGGGTAACAGACGATGGGCACTAGGACACTGCGCATTTACAAGACCAACTACTGGGGGTAGGGGGCAGCTGCCCCGTGCATGTGTGTCAGGCTGTTCATTTTGGAATGAGGGGGTGGTCTTTACATCATATTCTGTGGCTGGTGCGCTTGGAGAAGGGCTACTTTGTGGACAGGATGAGGGCAACAATGAGACCGTAGAGGCCGAGCACCTCGGCGAAGATGAGGATCAGGATCATGCCCACGAATAGCCGAGGCTGCTGGGCGGTGCCACGCACACCAGCGTCCCCCACGATGCCAATGGCAAAGCCAGCCGCCAGCCCGCTCAGGCCCACACTCAGGCCAGCACCCAGTTGGAGGAAACTCCTGCGGGGAGAGAGGACACAGGAGAACATTAGCTACCTGCTGGGGAAGCCACCCACCCAATGCTCCTCCCATGCCCTCCCAGCCCTATGTAGTGGCCTGACCCCAAGCAGGGCAGGACAGGTGCAGAGGGACCCAGCACTCACCTGTAGAGGCTGATGCCATCATTCAGGGAATTAGCGATGAGGACTGCCACCACCAACCCATAGATGGCGATGATACCAGCCATGACCACTGGGATGATGGATTTCATGATCAGTTCTGGCCGCATGACAGACATGGCTGCGATGCCGGTGCCACTCTTGGCTGTACCATAGGCGGCACCTAGGGCTGTGGGGAAGATGGGGGAAAGGCAAGGTGAGCTCAGAGTACCAGGGACCAGGACCCTGGGAGTAGCTCTGGCACAGTTGAAGGACACCTTAAGTTTAACAAAGAGGACATGAAGTTGGTACCCAGCCAGGGGCAGGAGGTAGCCCTCAGTGGCAACAGCCCCAGCCAGGCATGCAAGGAGCCCAGGTAGCTCACTCTTTCTCCACCGGAGACCCTATGGCTGTCTGGCCTATCTGTGCTCCTGCTCTGCTGTGAAATGCTGGCCCCATCTTCCAGGGAGCCTCTGTGTAGCTGCCTGCAGCCTACAGGGTGGAGCTGTGATGGGTCCAGTCCTGTGGAGAAATACACAGCTGGGGCCCTTAAGCCTTAAGATTCTGGACATCTTTTCTTTTTTTTAAAAAAACCATCTTAAGTCCCGGATATTCAGGTCAGAAACGGCCTGGCAAAGCACCAGGTGACTACATCTCAGCAGCCCAAATGTCAGGTCAGGGTCAGCCAGTCTGCCTCGGGGCTCCACCAGGGACACGCTGGAAAAGCCTCAACAGACACATGGCCTAACCACAGGGTGAGAGGAAGCTGGCCCCACAAGCCCGATCTCCGGCCACAGCTTTCCCAATTCCCGGCTCTGCCCACCACACCACTCCCAGCCCTCCAGGAGGGCTAGCATCTTGTCAGCAGGCTGAGTGCATTCTCAGCCACGCAGAAGGCCCGGACCCTCGAGTTTGGAAAGAATCCTCTCTAAAAATTCAGAGTAAAAAGTGTGAGCCAAGGAGAGCTGTAGTAACCGAAAAAGGTCACAGGGAGCCCCCACCCAGGCAGACCTTCCAGAAGTCCCCCTTCGTACACTCAAAAGCCTAGATTCCTTGAGGCCTCCAGGAATGGGGGTAGGGGGGAAACGCTAGGATGGCCTGTCTCCTCTGATGATATCCGTCCTTCCTCTAGAGTGTGCGGTCTTCCTGAAAGTTCTTTTATCCTGACCTCAGAGTCTAGAGTAACTTTTGGACAGAACAGAGCCACAGGGGGCCAGGTGGCTCTTCTGACTCCTGCCCTCCAGGGTCTCACTGCACCACTTGAGCAGAGAATAACATGGCTCCGAGGTGAAAAAGACAAGACAATCCCAACCTTTTTTCAGCACGTTTTATTCACCTATTTGGGCCACAAAAAATGGCTACCCTCTATGCTCATTACCGAGCAGGGAAGTCAAAGGAGCTCTAGCTTCCCAGGGCTCCAAGCCTGGTGAGGACACACATGGCACCTCCAAACAAAGCAACACATTCTAGAAGAGTGGGGAGGCTGGTGGGGGAGGGGGGTCTGGGGAAGGGCTCCATAAAGTAACACTGGGTAGAAATGTGAGTGAGCAAAAAAGGACTAAAATGACACGAATGGAGACATCCACCAACATGACACCAGACTGGGAGCTACTAGAAAGATAAAAGAGGTTGCAGTGGAAGCAGAGGAATTGTACTGCCTCCATCACCTGGTCCTAAAGGCACCACTCCTAGACACTCAGCACCATCAACCTGGGGCTCAGGGCTGGTCTTGACAACGCTCTTCTGGAATTCTCCTGGTCGCAGTATATTTGGGGGCTCCTACTGCAGGCCCAGCACCACATCAGGCTGTGTCACACACATGCAAGAGGCCAGTGCTGTGGCTTATTACTCAAGCAGGAGAGCACAGGTGACATGTGGCACTGAGTGAGAAACTGACTACTGGGAAGTCAGCGTTGCAGGGAGGACACTGCCAGACATGGAAAGTGAGCTGGGCTCTTTTCCAGGAGGTGGCAGGAAGATTGTGTGACTGGGGGTGGGGAGGCAACAGGACGAACAAAGGGAAGAAACAGGGCTGACCATCAGGGAATAGTGGCCTAGCCTGGGCAGCAGCAGGTATCCCCAAAAGCCCCGGATGTTAGAGAGCTCTGGAGAATGAGCCCGATGAGGTCCCAAATCGAGCAGGGCACAGAAAAGAGTGCAATCAGGAGGCAAGTCCGGGAACACACCAAGGGCAGGGTACTTGCCGGCAGGGAGGAAGTCAAAGAGATTGCAGAAAAGGAGCAATGGACAGCCTGTGGAAGAGTTGATGAAGAAAGAATGGACAGGACTTTCGTCACAAAAAAAGGGGAAGCAGGAAAGGAGATCGGGCCCACAGGAGCAGGTGGCACCAGTCCTTGGGGGCCTGGGGTAACCAAAAAAAGTCGTAGACCACTGATACACTGGTTCTCAGTAATTTCCAGAGACCTGCCTTCTGGTCAGGCTCCATCTGAAAATATTGTTAAGTTCTAGAAAGGAAGAGATGTACCTGGTGACTGGAGACGGGCCAGGAGCTGGATACAGAAAAAGGGCTCAGGGGGCAAACTCAGGGCTTCGGGAAGGACAGCCAGAACTCAAGGAATTCTGGGGCAGGAGTATCTTGTTTTGTTCACTGACATTCCCCTGTACCTAACACATAGAAGGAGCTCAATCAAGATTTGCTGAATGAACGAAAGACAGCCACAGGTGGCCAGACTAAGTAGACTCTCTGAGAGCACTGTGGAGGCAAAGAGCAGAAAAGGCTGGGGGGAAGCAAGTCGCAGCAGCCTGTCCAGGAGCGCTGAAAGCAGGCAACCCCTAGAGATGCGGAAAGGCACGGCTAGGAGGGAAGGGGAAGTCCGCAGACCACTTCTCCCACCACAACTGACCCCTAACTCACACGTGATGGGAAGGGCACGGCTCACTCAGCAACTCATGACTGGCGGACAGGCCCAGGCAGAGGGAGGCCGGCAAGAGAGCAGAGTCCCCAAGCCCCTGCACCACAAGTGTTTACAGTCAGCAGAGGCTGTTTGGAGTCCAAACCTTCCCATACTTGCACAAGGAGCTTCCCCAATCCACCAGGTAGGGTGGGGCAGGACGGAGTCATCAAAACCAAAAACCAGACCTACCCAAGAAGGCCCAGAGGAGACCAGGCCAGACCAGTCTAGAGGGTTGCAGCGGGACCAGGGCTAACCTTCCTGGGTCCCACATTCCTGGGCCCGGCCCACGGGCCTCTCTCCCAGATACACCAATTTCCAGTGAATTCAACACCCTATGACGGTTAAGACACAACTTCAGAAGAAAAGTGCTACCTAGACACGGAAGGCCCCTTTTCTTCCCCCAGAGGAGCCCTCCCAATCTTGGGTCTCAGGAAATCATTCATTCATTCATTCAGGACTGAACTAGAAGACTTCCCTCTAAGGACAAAGACCCACTCCCCTCAAGGCGGACACTTCACACCACCCTCTCACGCACCCTGGGGCAGACTCTTGGCAAACGTGCACACTCACAGTGCTATTGCTGGCCTGCCTCCCAGGCACCCATCCTTTGCCCTTGCCGTGTCCCGACCCCCACCCTGTTCCACGCAATCCCAGGTCTCGGGACCAGCCCCTCAGCCCAGCTTCCCACAGCAACCCACACACCCCAGGACTACTGGGGAAGTAACAGCCCCACCCCCCGCGAAACACCTGCCTCTGGCTTCGGATCCATTCGACTCTCGTGGGGGAGGGAAGGGGCCGTAGGGGCGAGGAGTGTGTGTGTCGAGGGAGCCGGGCTCGCCCTGCCCCCATCTCCGCCCGACAGGGCCGGCCCCCGTCAAGGGGAGCCTTCCGAGGAGTGATGTCACACCTGCCCGCAGGATGGGGAGTGCGGAGCAGGCGCAGGATCGCGCGCCCCCACCCCAGTCTCCCTCCCGCCCGCCTCTCCCAGGGCTAAGATGGCAGCGGCGCCGCCGCCCCACCCCCGCACCGACACCGACCGGGGCAGGGCTGTCGG